GCCTCCCCTCCTCCAATGAGCACCGAGTGCTCTTAGCTCTTGCCGCTATGAAGACCAATCCAGCATTGTTTATCCGAGAGGCTGCAAGGCAGTACAACGTGTCGAACTCAACACTGCAGCGCAGAATGGCTGGTGTCAAAGCACGCACAGATACGCATAGTCCGCATGCCAAGTTGACAGCAACCGAGGAGAGGGTGGTCATTGAGTATGTGCTGAGGCTGGAGGAGCAGGGGTTTCCAGTGCGAAAGGGAGATTTGGAAGGGATGGCGGATCTATTGCTTGCAAAGAGAGGAGGGTTGAAGGTCGGGGTGGCATGGGCAGACCGGTTCATCCGACGACGACCAGAGATCAAGACTCGGCTCTCCCGTCCCCTTGACTACCAGAGAGCACGGCAGGAAGATCCACAAGTGTACGCTGCATGGTTCTGGCTTGTGACCAATATGCAATCAAAATATGGTGTTCAGCCAGGCGATTTCTATAACTTCGATGAGACCGGCTTTGCCATGGGCATGATCAGAGCGACAACGGTTGTGATAAGCAGTGAACGGACAGCCCGGGCAAAGGCTATCCAGCCAGGGAACCGGGAGTGGGCAACAGCTATCTGCTGCATTGCAGCAGATGGGTACGTCCTCCCCCCTTGTCTTTGCGTGCTTGGGCGGCACCACCTTGCAACATGGTATGCGGACAACAACATCCCGGAGGATTGGGTTGTCAAACCCACCGACAAAGGCTGGACGGACAACACTACTGGTCTGGAATGGCTTATGCACTTCAACAAGTGTACTGAGAACCGCAGGATTGGTCAATACCGCATGCTGGTCCTTGATGGTCATAGGAGCCATGTCACGGTCGAGTTTAACCAGTATTGCAAGGATCACAATATTGTCCCCCTCTGCCTACCGCCACACTCATCACACTATACTCAGCCTCTCGATGTCAGCATCTTCGGGCCTTTGAAGCAGGCATACTGCAACCAGATCTCTTGGCTCTCACAGTGCGGCATCACAAGCATCACAAAGCCCAACTTCTTTGCCACATTCCACACTGCATTTGCATTCGCATTCACAGTTCAAAATATTAAGAGTGGATTCCGAGGTGCTGGTCTGGTGCCTCTGAATGCACAGGCAGTCATATCAAAGCTCACATTACACCCACGGACGCCTACACCTCTGCCAGTCGATGAAGAACCGGAGCAGCCATGGCCTCACAAACACCAAAGACCGCAGCAGAGACTGCCTCCCAAGCAACACTCATCAAGAACAGGATTGCCCAGCATCAGGGGAGCTCACCTACCTCAATCTATGCATCGATTAACCAGCTTGCAAAGCATGCCATTGAGCAAGACCATCGCATGACACTCTTGACCGGACGAGTGCAGCTTCTCGAAGAGACAGTTGACCACCTTTCCAGACGTCGCAGGATCAAGAATGTCCGTCTCCAGGACTTTGGAGTACTTACTGGTGCACAAGCCAATGAGCTCTTGGCGGAGCAACGTGTTGGTGAGCTGGCTGGGCAGGATCAAGGCAGAGGAGAGGCTCGGTTGAATCAAGCAAATCTGGGTGCACGATGCTGTAGACTCTGCAGATTGCCTGGACACAACTCCAGGACGTGCCCTGGTGCAGAACAAGTAGATAATGTGCCTGTACAGCGGTCTGATTAATGAGATGTTGCTTTAATGGTGAGATATCGTACATCCATCACAGAGGGTCCACAAACCTGACCCGTTCGCTGCCCTGACCCGCTCACTGCTAAACTACGTTAGTAGGCGCTTAGCAAGATTCTCAATAACACGGTCGCACTCCTCCATGACACCGATGACGAGCTTGTACCTGAAGGCGTGTTTAATTTTGGGAAGCTCAACAAGGCAACTCGACAAGCACGCGTGCGGTTAGCGTGGTGAAGAAGTTATGGGCGAGGTACCTCTTCCATCTTTGTTGGTTCGGGATGCGTTCGCGCCCCGAGTTAGTCTCATCCTCTAAATAGGATCTTAACTGTATAAGATGCATGTGACGTTATATTTAGACGAGGCCCCTTATATTCTATTGAACCTTGTTCGCTCCCGAAAAGGATATGGGTAACCCTATTAGATCGCACAATCTTGGTCATTCTCCCCCGTTCTCTGCTCTCCGTCGATGACATTCTCTGCTCTCCTCAATATAGCTGCGAGGGTCTATTCCGCAGCTCATGAGGTCGAACTGAACTTTCGAATGTGCTCGTAGCGTCGACGTTGTCCCATGAATGCCCCGTTGGAACGCACTGGGTGATAATAACTCGCCGCAAGTACCCTGTCTTGTTGCCTCTGGACGTCTTATGGTCTACCATACAATCCCCGACATGAGTTCCCCTGACGAACCACTGGATGATGCGATTTTCAGACCACCTCGGATCAGAACTCTGTCTCGCTTCACCAAGCGAAGGCTCCTCATGGGTGAGGGTATTGTTCGGCGGGCGATGCCCATTACTGATGCTATTGAAGGATGTATTGCGCTCTCCATCATTGCGATATTGGTCCTCCTGTCGCGGCCTCCTGTACGACGCAGAAATACAAGCCGGAAACTGGGCCATCCTGATTTCAATATTCAATTGCCATTGCGAATACCTGAAGGGGAGCAAAACTGGGAGACGCGAAACAGAGAGTCTCTACAGGCATTGGCCGATTGTCTCCCTTCGAATACTTGCAAGGAAAACCAAACCTCCATCGTCCTCCTTGCATCAGTTCATTTTCCGAACATTCTTCAAGGGAAAGTCTCGGGAGAAGACATCTGGGCGGCATCTGTGGTATGTTACTGTCAACAAGCATTTCATTTCGCTAATATTTTTGAAGCGCAACGCCTTGGCTGGGTTGGGATACACTTTCTTCTACTTCAGAAACCTAGAATCCGCCGCCGTACAGTATCGAATGTTTCCCAACCTCGTTAAAGTCGTTCTGGCGGACGGCAGGGACATCAATGGCTGCATCACTAACCCCGCCTGCATCAAGAGTGAATCGAATCCGGTGGGGGTACCGATCTGGAAAATATTCACTTTCCATTTCTGGGATGGTGAGCAGCATCCACTGGGTCGCCCATGGACTCTCTCCCCTGAAGACTATCGAACCGGCAATCAGTACATCGGCTACAGCTTGGAAGAAGCATGCAACCAACTCGACTTTGTGGCGCACGAGCAACGCCGAGATCAGGTCTATATCCTGGCGAAACGGCGCTCATATTTTCACCGCAAGAGTTATCCTTGGACATCCGATGCGTTAGTCCGAATACGGAACGAAACTCGAATCGCGCTCATTGCCGGCTTTATCAACGATAGAGCAGCCGACAGCAATCCAATGGGAGTGACTAACTTGGGAAAACTCAACAAAACGGAATTTCTCGACGAAATTTCCCACAGTCGTGCGCTGCTCGGTATTCTCAAGCCTTGGCTCTCTCCATCACCATACGACGCCCTATGCCTGGGTGTTCCGTTCATTAACCCCATCGTTCGATGGAACCGGACGAACCCCATGGACAGGAGTGCTTGGTACACCCAACACAACGGACTGAAATGGATTGAAGAGCCCTATGTATACCATGTGTTCAAGGGGGATACCGATGGGTTAGTGAGAGCAGTGCAATCTACAGCTGACAACCCGATCAATCGGTAAGCCTGGTTCGTATCAACGCAGATCCCAACCTGATATGCTCTTAGATTCATACCACCAGCTATGACGGAGAGAGCTCTCGCAGACCGGGTATCGTACCTGGTCGAGCATGATTGGCGGACTGATGCGGAGGTCATTCTTACAGGCATGTATGAATCAGACGACGATTCCGAGCTGCGGCAGACTGCTTCCGATCCAGAAAGACAGACTGAGGAGGGTGTTTTTCTCTTCCTGTAGATAGAGCACGTGGTGCTCGAGGTATGACAACCATTTCATAATCAGTTAACCTTCTCGTAATTCCTTGTCTCATTACAATCATAACTAGACATATGCATACATTGTAACCCGGCCTCTTGTAATCTCAAAGCAGTTCTTGATCCACGAAGAAAGATTTGCTACCGACCCGCTCGAAGCTCGCTAAAGAAGCTTTCAATGTCTTCCTGTCGGACTTCTTTGTTTTCCTGGGTGAAGGGCCGAAGGAAAGTCGTAAGACGATCCCTACAACTCTAATCAGGATATTGTAAAGCAAAACTACGCAGAAAGCTCACCGCAGCTGATTATATGCGTGGATCCCATCGATGACCCGATCGCGCGGGAGCCTGTCAAGCATCCGCATCCCGAGCTCTTCGATGGACATATCTGCGTGCTCGATGAATAGATCGCAATACAGAGATCATCACCAGGACGTACGTGCTTCTGGATCGTCTGGCGGTTCATAAGTATCTTCCTCACGAAGCAGGTATTGTTGATCCCCGAAGTCTGGTAGACACTATGTGAAAGTAAGCGCTAACTCACTGAAAAAATAGTGTGCGACGACTTGCATCTGGACATTGACACCATCTTAAACGAAACCCGTCCATCAAAAACACATCGCCCGCTGACTCCAAAGCGGGGTTGTCATTGTCGGGACTGTAAACGCACCTGGACAGCGCAGACTGCAACGGCGCGTGACACAGGGATCGAGGCTTTTTGAGTGGTCTTTCCTCCTGCAGCTCATCATCTGCTGCTCGTTTGGTTCCCGAGCTGCCAGAGAGCCCTTGTTCCGGCTTGACTGCGCCTTTGTCTTCCACAGCATCGGTCTCAGCGGAGGTTTGCTCAGTTGAGCCTACATCGATCGTTTCCTCCTTCACAGTGTCTCGTGGGCTTTCTGAAGGAGCAACACGCCATGCTTCGCTCTTGTCTCTGACTACAAGCTTGACTCCGGAAGTTCTCGCCCAACGTTGAAGCACGGGGCTCTTGCGCACGCAATCTGCGCATATCATCGAGTCGTATTCGTCTTCGGACAATAGGCCAGGAGGGAGATCGGATGTATCCGAGTCGGCATCATCGTCAGCTTTCGAATGTCTTGGGGGTGCCTCTGAGCGGGGAGGGGGCCGTTCCCGAAGGTTCAGGCAGCTCTCGTGGTACCAATCCTTGGGGAGCGTCAGTGATGCAGCAAACTGGTGACTCATGATATCACGCACCTCACACGCCAGGCATTGTATCATCGTTTCTCGTTCTTCACTTGGCAGGTACTGTCTCCCACAGCGACAAAATTTGTTGTGATAGTTTTGGTTGTAAGTGTTCTTCTCATTTGGTGGCATCAGGGTCTGGTGTAAAGTGCATTGATGGGATAAGGACGAGGTAGGACAGTCACATCTGGTGCATTTGTCAACAACTGGCGCCCATCAGGTATACGACGCGCCTGAATGCTCTCTTAGGGAACAACTCGACCTGTTCATGATCCCCGTGACACGCGATAGAGCATGCTGCGCATATGCCGTGGGGCGACTGACAGGTCAAACAGAGGAAGACTGGCTGACGGATGTAACCCTTGTTGTAGGTACATTCGGAGAATGACCATGGCAGCGCTTGAGACGCTTCTTCTTCCAGTGCTCGCTGTTCGTTGACCAGGTCTTGGAGAGAAGGCATATTGTCCTGTCCAGCACCAGTTGAGGTTAGGACTGGTGACAGTCAAATGACGATAGCGTGTTCTGGGCGCGTCACGTGATCAGACGTGTCGGAGAGGGTCCCCTCGGAGCCGAATAGGCCACAGTTATTCCGATTTAAATAAAATAGAGTTCTCATCGCTTTCACTTATGTGCAAACGGGCCGCACAGGCCCTTGGTCTACATCTGAAGATCCTATACTGTCCAACGCATGACCGAATGGTATTGCTCGCAGGGATATCAATACAGAACCTCCAACAATGAATGACGGTAACAATATATCACCCGGGCTATTGTATCAGCTGGGGGGAATGACGCAGGTTCCTTCTGGAACACATAGGATATGCATCAAACCTCCAGTCATATTGCATCGCCTCTGGGGGGGCAGGTTCCCGCAAGTATTCATTTTCACAGGTGCCCTAAAATTAGCTAAGTGTAGTACCTGGCTGTTTGATGCCGTAGTCATGGATATGGTATAGCAAGCCCTTTGAATTTGGCTCCTAGCGCATTAATATTGACATGGTCCTTAGGGTCAAAGAAGGAGATTAGGCCACAGATTAAGCGGCATGGGAGAGGTCGGACCTCAACTTGACTTCTAAACACCGACTTATTTACCTCCGCTGGAGGCCCCAAATGGCATCACCCGCACATATGCATAAAAAGGCCCCCGACGAAAGGTGATGCATTGTTGGAGGTTCGACTGTACAATCATCAGGATCCATTCTTTGACTATTAGGAAGCGCTACTTCTTCTTTAGGGTAAGAACTTATCCTTAGCCAGACTGATACCAGTACTTGTATTATGGGTTGTGGTAAATCGGTTAGGGGATGCGAGCAAGATGCCCGAGAAGCTTATCCCCTGGATTTCGGTATCGTTTCAGTGGGACCTCGTTGTGGGGATCTTCCCGGCGGATAGCCGAAAGCTGTTGCTGGACTGCATCTAGTGCAGTTTGAGGGCAAGATATGGATAAATGCAGCCGCATGATGAAGTGATCATCCAAAAACAGACAGCCAGCATATATCCCCCCTCATTCGGTCAGGGTTGGCATTCACCGAGTTTTGGCCCAATATTTATTGGGTCAAAACAGGTGAACACCTTTTTGCGTCCGCTCAGCCAATCACAGGTTTCAAATCGTGCTTCTCGGCTTGAAAAGTCAAGAAAGGTTGGTTAAATCCTTTTTTAACCCAAGAAAGGGAGGCGCAAAACGCGGTGATTAAGTAGAGGAAGAATAGGCTAGCACCGCCTAGCACAAGTCGAATGACAGAAGTACTATGTGTATGCGGTGTAGATATGTATATGTATATATATATATATATATTATTGCTGTTGGGCCAATGCGCCTCCGGGGTGAGGGTGAAACGGAGGAAGCTGTGCGACATCGCGTGTTGGCAACGCCTGAGCATGCATTGCCCGAGCATAATAGGGGGAATATGGCGTTTCCCCCTATCTCACACATAGCAACCGCTGAAGTATAAAGGACGGCAGTGGAGGACAGGTTTGCTTCAAGCTGGTCTTCACACAGTCATATCACCGAAATACGCTACTCTCCTTGTTATCGCAGCGCGAAACTCTCTCAGTACTCATTTACTGGATAATCCAAGTTCAAGCCACCAACGACAGGACACCGTCGACACCACAATGCATTTCTCCATGCTCGCACTTCTGTTATCTGTCTTATCGTCTGGCTTTGTGGTCAAAGTCACTGCTCATCCAACGGTTAATCGCCAGACTCAATGGGATGCACGAGAGTTGTCATTGCGAAGTGTGGAGAGGTCCGACCTTATTGACGAGCTATATTCTCGCACAAATTCTCCGCAAAGTCTTTCAGATATCAACCCATATTTACCGATCCCGGAACACTTGACAAGACACGCGGTTAGTGATCACCCTTAAGGAATATTTACGATTTCGTTGAGATAAGCCATGCTATGAGCAAGTAGGTGACGAGGTATCACGCAAGGGCCACTATGGGTCGAATATAGTCCACGGCAAGGTGTATGAAGTCCACCCATCATCACACGTGGCTAAAATCCATATTTCGGTGCTAAACATGCTCACGTTAAGACTTGCAATGCAGCAGCTCTATGTGCAGTGGGATGATAAGGCCAAGGCCGAATGGATTGACGAAAATCGGGTCAATTTGATATCTTGAACTTCTTCCTGTAAGACTACCAAAATGTGATGCAATGTTGTCATGAGGATAGTAACCGTTCCGATGCCGGTCTTGCCTGAGACGCGTTTTGGTTTACATATCCGCTGGAATGCGGTTGGTCTGTTTGGATTAAGGAGAGATTGATTTTGCGGCGATGAAGTTGAGGTAAGTTGGCGAATTGAAGTGAGTTTGGAAGGGAGAGAAGGGAGAGAAGTATGTCAGGGAAGGCGCAAGAGGGAGTGAGAAGGCCGATGGTTGTGAGATGGCGACGGAAGAAGGAATGTTAACGGGATCAAATATGGTTGCGATGGAATGTGAGATATCGGGTTGCCGTCTTGGGAAGAAGTCGGAAGGGCCCATGACGAGGAATGCAAATTTATTGTTCGTCACTTCCCATGTCACCCAAATATCGGGTGCGCGTGAATTCAGGGATTGAAGAAGGGGGGGGGCGGCGTGGTGCTGACATGAGCCCCGCCTTGGCCCCATAATATCAGTCAACGTGTGTATCTCCTCATCCTCTTTTGTTTTGCATCTCAAATCCTGTCCACTTTCGGTAACACACCCAGCAAGATCTGTGTGTGCGACTCTCTTCTTTTTAACCTCTCTCACTCTCTGGGGCGCTGCTTGCTCTCCCTCTTCATCCCCCCCTTCTTTCCGTTTGGTCCATAACCACTTTCAAGGCCAAAGCTATAGTACTCCTCATTCGCGGGGAAAACGGACTCTTCCTCTTCCTAACCGCCTGGCCTGTCTTCTGCCATCAGAGTCACAAGTGCTGTGCACACTCGTCGAGGCACCATCACTGCGGTTTCACACGTATCACCCACCTCTTTAGGGCCAATATCCGTCACACGCCGTACCAGTACTTCCAACGTTGACACCTCGTGTTCTCCTTCTCCACCCCCTATTCGCTTTCCCGATAGCGCACCCCTACACTTCTGCCCAAAGTACACACTGGAGCAAAGATATCTGGCGACCCACTCATGGCTACTTCTATTACTCGCCCCGCTCCTGCTCTCTCCATCGACTCGACGGCCTCTTCACCCGTCTTATCCATCATATCGACAGACTTGCTCCTCACGCAGTCTACCCCGACCTTGCCTTTCATGGACGCCACTAACACTCTCAATCCGCGATCGCGCGCTCTTCTTGTCAAGCAGGCTCAGAAGCTCCAACGAATCCTAGGAGAAACACCTCACATAGAACTCGCCATTGACTTGATTCCCTCCAGTCCTAGCCGTCCGTCCGCCGCCGTCTTAGCAAAACGCAGGAATACGGTCGCCGTGCCGCTTCCTCTTCCCTCTCCCCCATTATCCTCAAGCAACGCCAATGCTGTTGCCATCAAGCCTTCCATGCCCACCATCACCCTCACTTCAGTACCGCGCCCTCCCTCACCACCACCAAGTCCAAGCTCATGTCGTTTCGCATCCCCGATTTTCGTTCGTCCTGGCATGGAAGAATCCGATTCCGAGCTTGAGCCAGAAACAGTTGAGCGGCGACGTACGCGCGCGAGACTGGCAAAGGTTAAGCGCTGGACTGGAGAAAATGTTCCAGTTGCGCTTGTATCCTCGGTGCGGCGCTCTGCCGACGAACCAAGGTCACCGCGCGAAGTTGTGCATGCACGAAGCAAGAGTGTACTAGCACCGCTTTCGACAGTCTCAAGCTCCTTGGAAAAGAGGAATCACACATTGCCAGAGGAGCAAGGATTCGTGGTGAGTCCAAAAAATGTGTCATGTAACTTTGCTAACACGTCCCTCAGTCACCTTTCAAGACTCCGGCGGTCGATCTCGCGGCGACAATAACAACGCAATCCGTCCGACCTCTTCCCAAACGACCGAGCGAGGAGTCTGAGGGAGAGAAGGAGATTCGTCGAACTGCCAAGCTGTCGAAATTCTTTGGTGTTCCCGCTACCCAGCTACCCCCTCCCCTTCCCATCGCGGATACAACCATCGACAAGCATACACGTGCCTTGACTGAACCAGTTGCAGAAGTTCACGTGCATCTTTCTCGCACTCGATCCTTCTCGTCCAGCTCTGCCGGGCACACCCATACAACTTCAATGTCGTCGTCACAGATGGCTCGCACTATGACCCCCTTCTCGGAGTACTCGTACGACAGCGATGATTCAGACAAGGCCGTTGAAGTGCGCGTCAGGCGCGGCAAAGGACGCACTGGCCGGACCACCAAGAAGGACGCCGTCCAAGGGCGCCTCGGAGAGATGCAGAGCCAAGACTTTGCCCTGGTCATGGACAAACTTCGACGAATGAAGTAAGCTCTTCCGAGCGAGGTCAGCTTGCTGTGCGGCTGCTTTGCCACTCAATAGATTCGACACCTTTTTCTTTTGGTTTCCTGAAGCATTTCTGAGTTCATCGTTCACGTAAGTTCTCCAGCAATCGCACACTTATAATGCACATTCACTTCATGACCTCTACATGTACTGCATAAACGATTTTAACCTTTGTATCATATAGTCGGTCGCGAGCGACTGCTACACCTTGCGCAATTATCATGTAGTCAAACAAGGATAATGGATGTTTCGAGCTAGAACTTGATGAGCGCAGTGAACATTGTGGGACAATCAGACCCTGTGGTGGGGACACCTGACCACAAATCTATGGAAGGGGTACCGGCTGACGCTAGCGGACTGCTCGTCGACTGGCACATTCCTCCAAACGACAACCAGCACAAAAGCCCCGACAACAAACGAGTGAGGTCGTACTGTCGATATTGTTCTTGGGTGCATCATGACGTCTTGGATACCCCTTACACTTCTCCTTTTAACCCTCATTTACCCGTCGTGTGGTCGACCCCTGGAAAAGGAAAACCAATACCAATGCTTCGATTGCCCGAATGTCGATGTGTACAACAGGGACAACTATATCCAGGAGATGTATGATGATGCGCTGGTTTGTTTCTACAGCGGATCCAGCAGTGCCTGCATATATGATCAGGTACGTTGTCTAAGCCTGAAACCCCCCGCATACATCTAACACATGGCCAGGAAACGGGTGAAGCGTGGGTAAATTCACCATCGGCATGCCCCTATGCCGCAGTGATCACGTATTGCATACCCCAAAAGGACGGCGATCGGGCGGATACCAAGGGCAATCAAGGACTGGCTCAGGGCGCCGTGGCTCCAGGTTCTATCATGGCGTTGATGAGAGAGAAAACAGAAGGAAGGCTCACAACGCAACAAAGAGTGGGACAAGGAAGGATTTTGGCTGAGCGGTTGGCTGTGGGTCGGAGATATTGAGAATGGACTCTGGCGTTGATGTGATTGAGGATGGGGAGTGAACAATCTTGGTATCTATGTGTGTTGTCGATTGTTTTTGTACTTCGAGGTCGCACTTTCTGCTGACCATGTGATATTATGGGAAGAACCAGTCACAGTATTTCTGGGCGGCGTGCTTTGAGGGAACGAGGTACTACGTCCTTATGCGATCGACATTCTCGGGTTAGCGGTGAGACACGCTGTCTGGTACTACTGGAATATGATCTGGACACGAACTGGCGATAACTTTGATTCCTTCTCTTTCGACCACGACTGTATCACTATCCTATCATATCGCTGCGATAGGAACAAGTGCTGGCTAGCTAGGCGTACGGTCGATAACCACTAAAGACGACGAGTATGAGTAGCCGTAGTCTTCGCTTGGGTGAGTTATGTCGTTGTATGCCGCCCAAACAACCTGGCTGATCGTCACTTCCAGCCGTTTTCGCCAGTATGACTGGGGCTGCCTTCTTGTGCATATACTTCTGGTATCCTATTGGCAAGCGAGCATGGACGCAACTGCCTCACTTCCTCGATCGAGATTGTGATTCACTTGTGAACTCGGGGCCATTCCTTCCACTCTTTCCGCAAGAGACCGTCTACGACACAGCATCTTGGGTCGATCATAACATGAAGACCATGCAAAAACTTACGGGCTGCATTCGGACAGCGACCTGTCATGAAAACCAAACCATGGTCGTCCTCCTAAGCTCTTTTCACTTCCTTGACACCATCAAGGGCCACCTGCAAGGCGAACACATCTGGTACGTTCTGTTGCGTCGGTATCCGCGCCATATGCTGACTGTTGCAGGGGGAGATCCATCGTAAGTTCCGGTTAAATCAGCCCAATGTCTGCTGATTGTTCCCAAAGTTGATGGCGCTGGACGAGCTCGGCTATTCGTACCTGTTCTCAAACACGAACGATGGGGCCGTGCAGCAGTACCGGATGCTTCCAGAGATGGTAGTCGCTATCATCATGGAGCCAGAGGCCATTCGAGCGTGCTTCGATGATTCCCATTGTCTGAAGAGCACTTCGAACCCTCATGGTCTCCCGTTCTGGATGCTATTTGGTTTCCTCTGGTGGCCAGGTGATGGAGATCATCCCCTTGGACAGAAATGGACACTCTCTCCGGAACGCTATGATAATAACGAAATCTACATTGGGTACAGCGTCGAAGCAGCCTGCGGAAAGCGACCATATGTTCCGTTTGATCAAAGACCCAATCAAGCATACATCCTCGCTAAATACTTGCGCTACTTTCTGCCAGAAGCTTCCCCTTGGGCAAATGATGCCTTCGAGATTGCGGCCAATGAGACTGGCATCCGTTTTCTCGTAGGACTGCGCGATTCAGCCGAGCCGGCATCCGACACATTGCCACCAGCGACTCGCAATCTTGGCAGCTTGGATCAGGATGCATTCTTTGATGCAATAAGCCACAGCAGAGCGCTCATTGGTATAGGAAATCCAATGCTATCTCCTTCACCTTGGGATGCCCTTTGTGTTGGAGTACCTTTCATTAACCCCGCCTTATGGTACGATCCAAGCACGCCAGATGACACCTCAAAGTGGAGCAGTCAACATGACGCAATCATGCACTTGGGCGAGCCATATGCGTACACTGTGTTGAAAGGTGATACGGTTGGGTTTGTGCGCGCTCTGAAAATGGCGTTGTCAACGCCACTGGAAGCGTGAGCTACCTCTTACCCGGTGTTTGGCTATGCCTGATATGAGCGCAGTTATATCCATCCAGGAATGACCAGAGAGGCAGTTCGACAAAGGATGGCCACTTTTCTATCTTTCGATTGGCGTGCATTTGGTGAACGAGAGTTGCATAGCAGAACATTGAGGGGTGAAGAGGTACGACGATTGATATATATAGCTTCTGTCGGTAGATTACGAGCTGATACTTGGCAGCTGTATACGTTGTAGCGCGCTATGGACATCCTACATATGCACCATGTCATAAGAGAGTCACCTTTCGCTCTTTGAGGCCGCACATTGGGTGTCTGAGAGACATTACCCGTCGAGGCACCACTCTCAATTTGCATTCCTGTAACCACATGTATACTTCAGAGTAGATACTAGCCAACCAGTCCTACCTGACGGAAGTATTCAACACGGCCTTTCTGCCGTTTTGAGATGTGCGTTTACCCCGTTGCTTGAACCGTGAGACAGCCCTCGGCTCAGACATCGACTCTTTCAGGCATCTTGTCTCTCCCGTATCCTTATCTAATGGCATCTTGCTTGACTTGTGCGCTTCTCTGCTCACTCTTGGCAAGATCCATTGGAGGCTGATGACGGAACGCACTCCTATCCAGATTGAGGAGGGAGAGAATCTCCTATCTGACAGTGCGCAGAAAAGCACACATGTACCTGGACGACATACAAAGCAATGGTTCTCTTTGTTGGCCATCACCAAAGGCAGAGCTGTCGTTGGTGAGCTAGACAAACATGCGTGAAAGTCCGCTTAAATCATGCTGATATGACATGCTAGGTTTGCTCTGTGTTGCATCGGTTATCTTCGTTACATTTCATGGCCATCTTGCTGTGATGGACATCACAAGAGATACCCTCCGCTTGCGTCCTTCTCCGTACCTCGGTCTCCTGTTTCCTGAGGCAACACCCGAGGATGCAAAGAACACTGACGACAGTAACGCACGTGTTCTACAGTCTCTTTTGAGCTGTCTTGCAACAGCGACGTGCACCGAGAACCAGACGAAAATCGTTCTTCTCGCCGACTCACACTTTGCACTCTCCGTTCGAGGTTCGGTATCTGGGGAGGATATTTGGGCTGCATCAGTTGTATGTCTCATGCTATATGCCTGCAGAGCTTGGCTAATTGTTTAAAATCAATAAAAAGCTTGGCGCCCTCAAGCATCTTGGGTACTCTTCGCTCTATAGCGATAACCTACAGTCTGCATCATTCTATTACCGCATGTTTCCTGACCTTGTCAAGGTGGTCTTTGGAGAATGTGAAGACATAACGAACTGCTTTGGGAACGAACTGTGTGTCAAAAGTGCATCAAACTTGCTTGGTATCCCGATCTGGAAGATGTTCTCTCTGCATTTCTGGAACGGGGCATGCCACCCATTAGGAGGCTCTTGGACATTATCTCCAGAAGACTATCGCGGGGTTACAAGATTCTTAGGCTACAGCCTCGAGACCGAATGCATGACAAGAGAAGTTGTTCCGCCTGATAACAGAAGCGATCAAGTCTACGTCCTCGCTAAGTGGTTTCGATATTTCTTCGCTGATTCTTATCCTTGGCCACATGATGCTCTTGCCCGTGCTGTGGAGCAAACCGGACTTCAATTCATTACGGGGTATACGAACGACACTGAGACGAGCCCCCTATGGTCACCACCCGTGGTCAACTATGGACAAATGCCAAAGGAGCTTTTCCATGAGCGTCTTTCTCACAGTCGTGCTTTGCTCGGTATTGGCCAGCCATATCTCTCTCCGTCCCCATACGATGCATTGTGCTTTGGTGTTCCGTTCATCAATCCAATCGACAAATGGGATAATGACGACCGCGAGAACAGGGCTAAATGGTCGACGCAGCACGATGGTCTGAGATTCATTGAGGAGCCATATGTCTACCATGTCCACAAACGTGATGTGGATGGCTTGGTCCGTGCTCTTCGTGGTGCGAAAGACAATCCGATTGACAGGTGAGTTGCTCATAAGATGTATTAGCACAATGCGGCTTACATGATATTATAGGTACATTCCCCCTGCGATGACAGAGGCATCGCTTCTCGACCGTGTTGTTAGTCTTCTCGAACACGATTGGCGTTCAGAAGCTCAAGCTCTGCTCAACTCGGCAGTCGAATTCCTGCCAAAATGAGGCATGTGTCCTCTCCGATAATGAGCACAATGATTCCATTGCGTTGCCTCGACTTTTTCATTCTCCGCATCACTTCCTCAAATGTCACCGGACACAAACTCCACTCCTGTCATGTCGCAAAAGCAACTAGCACCTCTTTCTCTTGTAGCGAAATCCATCACCTTGATGAAATGATTGCATACTTACGCTGTTAGAACAAAGATACAATAACAGGTCAGCATGACATCTATTCGCATGCAGTGAACAATGAGCTACGCGCAGACGACAGGGTGTGGGCCTGGAAACGCTGACCATAGGGTTAGGGTTAGGGTTAGGGTTAGGGTTAGGGTTAGGGTTAGGGTTAGGGTTAGGGTTAGGGTTAGGGTTAGGGTTAGGGTTAGGGTTAGGGTTAGGGTTAGGGTTAGGGTTAGGGTTAGGG